CTTTAGTATTTAGCCATGAAAATGTTATGTTTCGAAATTTTAGAATAATACATTTCATTTGGCTGGACATTGTAGCGTGTCTAATGTAAAATGAGATTCCCCCATACTTGCGCTATCCTTGAGGGCAAAACGCAACGATGTTACGCACGGAGAATAAATTTACATTCACGAACGGCGGCGGCTTTCAACGAGTTCGCTAGATAAAGGTGGTTCATTATGTGCTGCATTTATTACCCAATGGCGGTTCTCGATTGCCTCGCAATTGCCTTTAATCCCGTCGTCAAGATCGGATCTCACCGGGATCTCGCGTAATCGCGTTACCGGCTTCCAAGGACCTACACGTAAAGTATCCTATTCTCGCATCCAACCGTCGCACACGTATTCTCGTTAAAGTGTATTGAGCGTTGCAATATTCGTCATTTGGTGCAAAACTTGGATCAGGGATGTAGAAATTGATATGTCCGTGAAAGATGCACATGCAACCAATTTGCAAAGTACAGAGTTATGTTCGAGGACGTTACCTGTAATCGTGTTATCCGCCTTTTTTTATGCATATGTAATGATAAGACACTTTTAAATAAAAAAAATGAAAGCAAAATATTCTTAAATGAATATATACATCTGTAGTGTTGATCTATTAACATTATTGTAGGAATATAATAGAAAATTATTTTTATCACGTCACTGACACAAAAAACAAGTTTTATAGATTGTTGCGAAATATTAGATAAAAATATTATTTTATATAATAAATATATAATATAATATAATTATAATTACATTATTGGAATAGATGTATCATACATATAGATTGTATGTTAATTGGACTATGTGACATTAATGACAGTTATTTTATGAATAAAAAATTTAGGTATTTAGAATTTATTTTATGATGATTATGATCCGCGTTAGCAAAAAACATACGAATGCAGATATAATTTATCAGAGTGACTGCTATCAAGTCCAAATTTTTGATAACAAAATATATATAGTTATTTTCATTTATATCGCAGTATCGATAATCCTTTTAAATAAATCAACATAAAGCTTTCATAAAGGATTTTTTATGAGCAGTGGTAACTTTACAAATCTGTCTAGACGTCATAAAATTTTTACATTTTGTACATCAATATGTATGATACACGTACTACCGCATATACGTGTATCTATGTGCTCGGGCTCAAAGTTAATCTGGATTAACCGGTCTTGAGCTCTTCGCTGGTAAGGGGAAGAGAGAGGTGAAAAGAGTGGCAAGGCGGGACAAAAATCGAGATCAAAGAAATATGCCCTTTGGAGAGGAGAGGCCAGCCCCTCTCTCTCTCAGTTGCAATGGAGTCTCGTTCAATTCTCAAGTCGCGGTAGTAGATACATCAGAGTTGAAGCACATTGTTGTTTGATAGAGAACTCTCTTTCTTCCTCTTTCATATTTCTAACTTCTAATTATATCAATGGCAATATAATGATAATTTTGTTGAACAACCTCTCTAGAGATTTCTTTGAATTTTATTCCTTAATTGCTAAAATAATTAAATGAACGTAAAATTATACATGATCTTTATTTCGATTCCTTCACGTTTGGATAGCAAAGTTTCATAGTAAGCATGACTTATTACCATTCTTATTCTAATCGCATGAAGCAGATGGCCGATCTCGTGCACGTCCAAGCGATTTAAACTCTCTTCTTTTTAATTATCGCTTCTTGATGGACGTCATGTGAGATGCCGCGTTGAGCCGCGCGATGCGCAGCCCGATAATGCTCAGGTATAATATGTAATAAATCACAAGGAGATGATCTTCGTACAACGTGTGATATATCGAGCTTATTATAACAGATGTTCGACACGATCTTCATTATGAGACGAGTGTATTGTAAAAGAAAGTCCCGATTTTATTCTGTCGTATTCCATCTCAAGATCATGGACGATCTTTGCTACATTATTTTCGTTTCTTATTAATAAATTATTAAATCTCTTTTATTATCTCTCAAAGTAACGAGTCTACATTATCTGAATTTACAATACATAGTTATAAAATTTAAAACTTTGTTTTACGTGCACGAACTCACATAGTGTCGTAATTATTTGTTTGAATTAAAAAATGATTTTAATAAGATTGAGATAATTATTGATACATAAAATAATTTTTTATCTTCTAATAAATATGTAAAATAAGTCTGGACAATAACATATATATATAAAATTTAGTAAAAATAAAAAAGTTAAAATAAGTTAAATTACAATTAAATGAAACGTCTTTAAAATATTTTCCTGTTTTACATTAGAACTAATGACTAATAGTGCCATTTCGATTTAATCGTATATTTATGCTAAATCTGATTTTATTTGAAACGGAGATGAAAGGTTAAGGCACAAGGATCAACAACCGTATTTAGCATGATTGAAAACAACAATGCCACGCGGATATTTTACGGCGGATACTCGTTCACCAAAGTGCTTCATCGACTTAGAATTCGTTTGCGTGCGCAACGCACTACTCTCACAATCTCGGCCTTTGAGGGTCGGCTTTTAATTTGCCGCCAATGATACTAAAGTCGAAAAGAACGTCCGGTTGCAACTCCCAACTTGAAACCATCCCGCTTCCATTTGCCAGACTATGCTTGTCCGAACCTTTCTACAGGATGATACACGGCTGGATCGAAAATTTTGTTTAAAACTGACGATATAATGAGTAATGCTAAATCAGAAAGAGTATTCAAATTTTGTCAATTGTTTATAATTAGTAAATTTAGATATTTGAAAATTATAAAATTCAAGACTTTTCTACATCTTTCCTGTTATCATTAAAAGAATAAATAAATTAAATAATTAGAAGATTCTTAAATTTCAAAATTTGGTGTAATGATTTAGTTTAAATTTTAGATAGAATGTTGAGATGTGTAGATGAAAATTCATTATATTGTTAAAAATTTTATTAAAAACTATTTAAAAATCAATTAATATCTTGAATTATCTTCCAAATTTTTATGAAAAAGTGAGTAATCATTCTTATACTGTGTATATGAAAGCGAAAAAGAAAAGATATATCATGACATCTCTCTCAGAGGAAACTTATTGTGTTTAAATAATCTAGTTTCCTTTCAATTTAAAATTGAATTTTCTCATATTACATTTTCTCATATTTTCTTCATCTTCACTCAAATATTACTTTGCGTACGTAGTTTCCAACTTAATCGTGAATCACCCTGTATACCCTATTCCATTAAGCGTTATTTTACCCCGGTCGCGATTAAGCGTAGCCACGAGTGCGAATGAAAATTATATAGTCGGGCCACATGCGTTCCCCATGTATCTCTCCTTTTTCTTATGGCCTTTCCGCCTCCGTTGCACTGCTTTAAATGAAATCTGCTTTACAACGATGCAACTAACGTGCCGCTGCACGCGACGCTCTCGGCGAGAATCGGCACGGGGCTATCCAGACGAATACGAAAAGAGAAGCTTGCAAGTGTAACGAAAGAGAAGGAGAGGCGGGCTACGTGCTCCTCGTTTTCTGTATTCAAGCGCGTAATTGGTAGATTGGTTAATTGGAAACGAAACGAATGGCAAACGCGAGAAACTTTTCCGTCAAGGATTCCTTTAACACAAGGATAAGAAGATATCAAGGCAACATCTGCTGTCGATATTTTGATAATAACGATATTATTGAATTTCTAACATCATCACTTTTAATTCCATGATTTTAACCTGTGCGTGCATTTTGATTTATACGCTACTCCAAAGTTACTTCACTTGTATAAATAATAACGCTCATTTGTGTTTATGGGATACCTTTTGAGGACGAAAAAAGTCTGCGGAATGCGAGCGAATATTCGCGATGAGAGGTTCGGCCGACAAGTATCAGGGATGGAAACAATCTGTATCTATTATTCATGACGGCCGATTCATGACGGTTCGATATGAAATTATAATCGGCCACTCGTGCGTCAACCAGCCAAATTGGTTCATAGTTTCCTGTCAGACGCGTACGCGGAACGTGGGCGGAAATACCATTTATGAAATTGAAACAAAGGCAATGTACGATTTGATCGTGGCAGACAAGAGAACAGACACGCTATTTGTTTCCAATGCCAGCAAATATTTGAGAAATATTAAGAATATATTAAGAACCGATATTTTTCACTTTCCAATATATGAAAGTGAAAACAAAGCAAAATTTGTGAATGATTCTTAAAATCTCTCTGATAACTTGAATGAAATTTTAATATTTTATATATATAAATTAAGTATGGTACAGTTGAGTATGGTAATAATTTTCTTCATTCCAATGCGTTTTTAGCGTGGGTGATACGTCATGTACAGTGCAACAAAAGTACATAGCACATAATAAGCTTAACTTCACTCCACAATTACCTTCAAGAAAACGATACGATTTATTTTATGAATTCACTTGATTCTAATACGTGTTGCTCGCCAGTAATCAAAGTCTCCATCAGAGCTCTCATTAAGTCGGGATTAGTGTTGATATCCCTTGCTGAGAGCTCTGAGTATGTTTATACGATACATTGCTTATGCAAGTGTGGATTTAGCGACTGGCTGAGAAGTTGCACATAACGAGGAAAGTAATTATACTAACGGGTTAGTAATCCGCATATGACTCATAATATTCTTCCCGATTAAATAAATAATTTGTACACAACTTTAATTATTTATAAGTAGTTATGAATAAAAATAGTGGATAAAATGTTATCGATCAATGTTTACGTCAATAAATAATATTGTATGTTTTCAAAAAATTTTATTATATTTAGTATTTAAAAAATTATAGATTATTACTTTTTCTTATTAAAGAATAGCAAGAAAGACAAAATTTTATTAACCGTTTGCATTGTTTAATTGCTTTATATTTTCAATTACGATTTAAAAACCTTAAAATCATAGTTATTAAAAGTTTTGAATTTATAGTATTAGTATTAATTTATCAAATAATTTGTAAAATAAGAAATAAAATAATTCAGTAAATCTCAATAGAATTTACAATAAAATCAAACATAAAATTATTGTGATTTTATTATATTTTCACACTTTGACTAATACATTGAATAGTACATTGAATAGTAACAGTATAACTGGATCGTACTAATAATGTTGTATATTAAGATAAAATGATCCGCGTCTGCAAAAAAATATTACAGATTAATAATATATTTTGTCATATGAAAACAAGTTTTAATCTAGTTACTGATATAAAGTAAAAAATAAAATGTAAAGTATTATCTTACATATTTGTTGCTGTGTATCCAATACTAATTTGCCTAATTCTAGGACAATTATTTAATATATAATGAAAATAGGAAGAACACTCAGCTGCGGTAAATTTGGTAGGTTGGAGTTTCGACTTTACGTATAGCATGACTGATCTCTGATGACTGCATAAATCTAGCGTAAACATGAAAGAAATAATTAGATCAAAAACATTAATAAATTGATTTTGTTATTTTCAAAAAGCATAGTTATTTTAAATAATTCCCGATTTCATTTTCTAAACATTCAACATAGTAAATATACTATAATTAATAAATTCTTTTTATAATTTTCACAAAATGCTTTTAATTGATTATTATTTGCAACACGTAAAGCAATGTGAATATAAATATTAAGTAAATGTTTAACGTAATTTATTTAAATTAATTTATATTTCAAAGAATTGATGATATTATATTTAATTGTATTGATTTATTGGTTACCGGCATCGCTTAATGGTAAACCAAGGAATATGCAATCGGGTTGAGGACGAGTACCACCGTTCACGTAATAATCCGCTGTTCCCATAGATGTTGGGGTGCCATATCCACCCCGGTCTGTGTGAATAACATCCACCCATGACGCATCGTTTCGTGTAAGATAGCACCCGGGAGGATAAAAAAATAGGATTCGCAGGATCTAATGCTGCAGACAATAATTTTATAATGAATATTTTAAAACAATTCGAGAGTGCATTACATAAAATTAAATTTCTGAATAGATTGATTTCTCGTCAGTTTTCTATTAATATGATAAATGGAATAATAAATATAATTATAGCATTGCTTAATTTTCTAAAATAAAAAAAATCTTAAGAATAAAATATACGTGCCTTGATAAATTTTAATTATCTACCTGTAATGCGAGGTATTTGAAAGTCGTTGCATTTACCAGCAAAACCAGCTATGTGAGCACCTAAGGAGTGTGAAACGATGTAAATTTTCGATACGTCAAGGCCGCTCTCCATAAGCAGTCGTATACTTCGAGCAAATAAACTACCTACTTTTTCAGCATTTTTGAAACTGGTTGTATATTTGTCTCTAGAGTATTTACTCCAATCGAGTAACACAACATTGTCTGTTTTTCCGTAACAAAGTCCTAATAATGCAAACACATATTAGTTTGCATTACTTTCTGTTAATTTTGTAATGATTTATTTATTTTACATTTAAACATTTTACCTTTCATCATTAACTGAACATTTGGATCCTCCGGATATTGCAAGTATCCGTAAATGTAAAAAATTGTCCGTTTATTTTTGTCCAATACATTTAGCAACATTTGTGGCACTGTGATGGGATAGGCGATCGTTGCAGAAGTTTCATTATTGCTGGGAAATATGTGTTTATATTGATTATTATTATTATTTATATTCATAATTATTATTTGGATATTTCGCTGTTGATACAAACCATTTATAATAGAGCAGATTGATACCAGTCGCAAAATTTAAATCAGTTTGATTACCTGAGAAATAACATACATTATTAATATGTACTTTTGAGGTTTGTAAAAATATGGTAAAATATAAAAAATAAAGTACGTATTTACAAGAACACAACGACTGGCTGTGCATTATCCTGGTCACAAAAAATAGTATAACGTAAAAATGTACCGATGATAACATTTCGGAAGGTATTTATGGAGATTGCGGAAACCACGTTTTAACGCGATCCTGACTGATCGTGTCGACATGCCATTCTAGACAGAGACTCAAAGCCAACGTAATATATATACGTACCACCTCCACGTGAACCAAATTGCAACATAAACTAGATTACGTTATTTCTTGTCGTATAGCATAAGCATAGGCATACACGAAAAAAGAAAATAGCTGCCGTAATTATATTATGCAATATATGGACAGCTAATGATTTAATTATGATTATATTATTTGCTACTATTTGTTATATTTATGTATTAGGAGCAACAGCAAATCGTTTTGTTCTAGCTCCTAATACAGTAAATAAAGTAGCAAATAATATAGGTATCACAACTATGATACCTAAGATGTTAGCTGTCCATATATTACAACATAATATAGCTATCACAATTTTTAGCAACGACAGCTACTTTCTTTTTTCCGTGTAAACGTCTCAATTTCGCATTAATTGATTCATATCTCTCTTTCCGTATATTTCCGTATAATTCCATATAATTTAATTAGCTGGACTTTCATAAAATTCGCATACTCTTATTATGAAGTACAT